CCATAATGCACCAGTAAGTGGGTAAAAAAGGTTACAGTTAGTTGAGCGACCTTCCTTGATGTTAATTTCGAGGGTAACTATACCCATGATAGTAAATCCGGTTACATAACAAACTGCTATAAAAAAAGAGTACACTGATGAACTGAAAGTGATCACAGAAATTCTCTCATAAATAAAGTCTTTGCACTAAGAATTGTCACGCTATTTTAAAAGATATCATAAATTAAACGTTTCGCTTCTTGATCACTGTTAAAACCTTAGTTAAATTAAAGAGATTATCGAAGGTTTTATTGACATAATAATTGAGTCACATAACACATTTATTATAGTTCCGACCGAGATGTCCAGAAATTTCTAGTTCATATTTTTTATCCTGGCTTAGGTTTTCTTTCAATAATAATTATCATTCCTATATATCAATCTACTTATATTTTGCTATATCCCTTAAACTATTCAGGACTTATTATTGAGGTGACGATTACTTTCATTCAACATTTAGTTGGACAGAAAATCTTCGCGTATATCAGTGATTAAAAAATGAAGACCATAAGTATATAATAGACTGTAATCTAGATGAATATCTACGGATAATGAATAGATTTTGATTTAATTGATAAAATAATTAAGCAGCAACCAGATACTTCCTGAAAGTTTTAAAGATTTTCAAATAAGTTTGTCACTATTGCGAAACTCTTTTAAGAAGTGCGGGTTTGTACGCTCAGCTATGAATCATATCCTACTCTTGAGTTAGGGAAAATGGTGCGGCCTATCTTCTCAAATCGAAATAGGTGGAAAGGGGCTGGAACTTGCAACGTACTAATGGAAAAAAATAATTTAACGATTGCTATACTCAGTTGTGAAACGATACAGTTGTAGATGTTTTCTCCAAATCTATGTATTTTTTAGTGACATTAGTTGATTTAGTCTCTATGTTAAACAAAAACTATGGTAGTTATTGTATCCTTAACTTTTACATAGAAAAACACTTTGTCATGATCCCACAATACAATTTATTAAACATGTAATTGAAGTTATGTACCATCATATAGTATATAACAGACTGAGGTAAAACGCCTACAGAGAGATACTATGACTTCGTTTGATTATACCCCTTAAAAAACATACATTTATTGATTTTAATTTTGGTTTAGGCGTTAAAAAAATCGGGAATACTAAAAACCACACATATGTTACAGAATTTTGACAACTGAACATACAAAATAAAAGCGAAAACAGCAATTTTTTTGTAATGACTAGGAGAGGATAAAAAGAAAGCGTAGGTGTTTTATCAACAAACTATAATATGCTTGGACTAGTGCCAGTTAAACTATGTATATACATGTACACGAAGAGCACATGAGTGACTCACGTGGTTTTGTAGACATTTGAGCTGAAAAAACAGTGATAAATGATATACGTGGGCGGGAAGAAAATGCAAATATTATCAGAAAAAACGAGGCAACAAGTTAATTCAATGAAGTTGAATGTAGATTAAAATATATACACCAAAGTTATATGAATCAGCAAATATATCATAGTTTTTTTCTATAAGAATAATACAAGTGTTATGACGTTATCACTAACCATTAAGAATGAATAAAATACAAATTAAATAAATATAAAAATACTTCTTAAGATACAATTGCATAAATAATTTTAAAGTACTTATTAGTCAGAATATTTATAAACCGTACCAACAAATATGTTAATTTCGTCACTATTAATCAATCCAAATGAGATGATCTTTAGTCCATTCACCTGTCACCAAATTAAAATTTTATTGTATCAACTTTCAATTCCGATTGTTAGATTGTCATGATTTCACATTCGTATTTCTGTCAAATGTTATAGATTGATTTTGTTATGAATTTAAGTTGATTTTCTGAACCTATTGTGTCGTTGTGTTCGTTTTTCTCTTTTTCTTTCAGATTCCTTTATGTTTACTACTTTTCACTTACCTTCAACGTACAATGTACATCCAAGTCCAATGAAAACATATCAAAGATAGAGTTTTAGAGTTTATGTATATTTTGCCTTCGTGTAAATATTGATCGATTATTCTTGAATGTTTTGTAAATTTTCATTAACTTGAAGATGTTTAGCTCATTCATTCGTTAATTTGTAAGCTTCATCAGAATATTTATTTCAATCTAGTTATATTCCCATGCTAACTATTAAGAGAAATGTACAAAAACAACTAGATTCACCGACCGGTATCTCGTATAACTAACTGAAAAACATGAGACTCTAATTTAGTTTTTTTTTTCTAGTTAGGACACTCCGCACAAGCTGTTAATTGTTATTCTACTGAATCTTAGTGACCGCGGATAAATGTGACCCAAGTTAAACTTCATTAATATTTCTGTATATTGGATTCAAAATGTTTGCAGTTGAAGACTTGTTTGCACGCAAATCAGAATTGTCACTGAGCTCTACTGAGTTGAAACAAAGGATAAGTGGGTATCTGAAGTTTTCTTAAAGCGACACTTGATTTAGAATCGAAGCAGATCATAAACATTTGCAGAAAGTGGGTCTCTCTAAGAAAACATCCGTCAACCCGGTAGAATTTTGAGCGAGAACTGAGTAATGTTGAGGGTTGTGGGAAAGTTCTCTTGACAGCTTTGAGGAAGAATTTATCTTTTCTCACGACAGATAAAATGAACCCTAAAACATTGAATTTCACTTAAATTTAGTTAGATGTTTTGTTTTTATTTTCCTAAATTTGATGACTTGGAATTATGCCAAATGTTTATGAAATGGATAGACTAATTCATTTTGTGTAAATTCTTTGATTAGTAATAAATATAGTTTTTTTTATAAAAACAAACGAACATTTACAAAAGTTCATAAGTTGCTGTATACAAGGTTAATGTAATAGTTTAATGTTCTTCCAGATTATATAAATTTTGTAAAGTGAACCAGGAGGAACAATCAAATCACTCCAATGTTTTTACTTTGGTGGTAAAGAAAATTGATATTTTATCAATTATATGTGAAGACATCTTGTAACAAAATTAATCACAAATTTCTCGACTATTATGTATTTTTATTAGTTTCTAATGTATTGTATGCTTGGTACATATTTTTTATCGCTTATATAACAGTCACAGCATTGTTAACCACTTATAAAATCCAAACTTTTATACTAATGTTTTCACATTGAACTAGTTTTTGGTAGATGCAGTTGTCAAGAGCATAACGAAAATCGATGAAATTACATATTGGCTACTTTGATTGCTTTTGTAATGACGCACATTAAATATTTTGAATGAATATGAACTGGTTACTTCTACATAGGTATTTGTCATGTTCACCTTAAAAAGCGTTTGACTGCCCTGATGAAAACAATATTTAGGGTTTTAAACAACCTTGCATAAAATACTGTAGTTGAGCAGACCAATCACAAGTTAATAATGATACTTGTGGGTTTGTTCAATTTACAGATATTACGCAAATAGGTAGCTTGCTTTTAATCGACGCTCCACTACCTAAAACGCAAAGCCTCTAATTCGAGAAACCACTGAGAAGTGATAATTAGCTCGAAGTTCAAAAATTATAACTAAGACAGATCCACCATGAATAGACCAATAACTTCTAGTTCAAGATTACTGACTTAAGAATGAAATAACTAAAACTAGTAACAATAATCAAATCGTCAGTATAGGGTTATATTGTTGAATTTCATCAAAATCATAAATCGATCAATGTTGGGTCATCATTGAAAAACTGGACAGCCGTTTCGTCCTAGTATTTGGCTCCTAAGTGATACGCATTCACGTTCCCGCAAGCAGGGATCTAACCCAGGAACTTCAGTTTCGCGTGGACATTTACCTTCTAGACTACTCAGCATCCAACGGTGTTAATGTCTGACTTCAACAAATCACTCGACCATCTACCATTGTCACTTAGTTATATCCTAAACTTCATTTTCAAGAGCTACTGCGACTCCTAAGCTTTTCATTAGGAACAGCCTTCAATATTTTATCTTGATCTTATCGTGGAGTAGAAGTATAATGCATTTTCTTAATAATAATGAGGATCCAGAATTTCGATTAGAGGATCGAATCGTTACACATATATCCACAATATTATTCAAGTTCCATGTAAGATATTAAGAAAAGGACACACGCATTTCTCACATCATAAGCTTTCAAAAATGAAAATTACGAACATATCCCGTCAATATTTATGGATATTCAATGAACGTTTACTGTTTTTTAAGATTTTGTACTGTTAATGTTGTTTCGGCTAACTCACAAAATGGTTAATTTTTCAACTATAACATCAAACATTGATTTTGTTATTTTTACTTGGATCTTGTTGGGTGATACAGCAAGTAAGTGAACGCTTTTAAGACTAAATCGTATAATCGTAAAGATAATTTTATAACGAATAACACAGGCCAACCAACTAACTACAATTAATAATTAAGACATTACAATTCGAACGTACACCATATTTTCAATCAAATAACTTAAGAAAATATTTACAAGCGATATATATACTTAGTAAGGATTATATGTATGCAGAACACAGCCGAAACAAAAACGTTCGAGTCAAGTTTAAGTTATTCAGTAGCTTCATTATCTTCTTTAGTTATTCACTTCAGATTGTTTTCTCAAATTTTCACTTGTATATCTACAAGGACATGACAGTATACTTTTTCGTAAGAATCTGCTTACCTTAATTAAACCAAGCATTGTTATTGTTCATCACCAAGAAAATAAGACCATACTTATAAGTGTCATATGCACCGAAATCATAGAATTTCAATGATCACGTGTAGAAAACCAAAAAGCCAGAAATACCACATTTACCTCTGCATGTTCTTTTTTCAAGTTTCAATACTGTACTGTATTTAAAATAGTTTTCGTGTCATAAAACACCATAAACTAAAATAATTAACCAAAGAACAGGACCTCATTACGTCATTTCTGACTTATAACCTTTTCGGATATCTTTACATTCATTTGAATCGCAGAATATTCAAAACACCATTTACGAAAATGTTTAATACATTTATTTATCTCATTTAACAGTTATTAAAAATAATTCAGATAAGAATTAATTTGCTTGTAAAATATTTTCTTAAAATATACAGATTTAATTATTTATGCATAATACACACATAAGGTTGTAAAAAATGTATACTTTGAGTTAACTAGATAAAAATTATATCTGTAAAGTAGATAGAGAAACGTGTGCTACTCTTGAAGTTCAACTCACGTTACATTTTTGCTGCTTCTTTAAACAACGTTGTAAGGTGATAAAACTCAAATTAAAAGAATCGATTCCCGTTATTTCTCCTAACAATTATGTTTAAGTTTATGCATTCGAAAAATGGCATGGATATGTGTGAACAATATTACAACAGTTTACTTTATAAATCGATAAAGTTATGTTTTTATGAATAAGTAAAATGAAATGATAATAATAATTGTGATTAATCATGAATTGTACATTCCTGAGTATTTAATATATTTATTAGAGAACTGGCGTATGGGGGAAGGATTACACTTTGATCATCATTGACAACATAAACATCTACAACGATAGGACTGCGACGACAAGCAGAAGAACATACATTACTGCCAGATAAACCAGTTCCACCGCTAGCATATCCTATATGTGTACTACCACTACATGTTGGATCGTTAACAGCCATTGCGCCAATCCCGGCACGCATATCTGGATCATATATAAATCCAATATCAGCGCTGGTATGAGCTACTGCAGCTTTTGAACTCTGTGTCGGTGTAACTACAACAGAACTGAGTGTACGAGTACGCCGGAAAAAAGAACAACCAGTGGAACTTTGGTTAGTTGAAAATAAACGAGATAGTTGTTTTGGTAAACCTCGTTGCCATCTTGGAGGTCGGGGTCGACCATTGGGTTTCGCTGTGTACAGTGGGGGTTCCCGAAAATCACCAAGCGCATAAGAATACTCATTAGAGTCATGTGACTTGTGTTTAACTGATTTTTTGGAATGACGCCTAGGTAAACCAGTAGACGGAAATGTTGGAGTGAGCTGTAAAGCAGCATTACAAAAGAGAGTTCCTTTTTTCCACATCACTCCATACCCAGCAAAATCATGACCACATAGGTGTAAAACAGGTCTGAAACAGAAACAAAGGGTTTTTAAGATGGTAATCTTTTTTGAATGGTAAAATGATTTAATATACTTAAATTAATAACTAAAAAGCAATAGCTATGCATTACCTAGTCACAATACAAAACTTAGGATAATATACAATGAAAATTCGTAAACTATTTCAATAGTACATGATTCATGTCAACATTTTTCACAGGTGTGTAGCTTCCCAACTAAATACCATCTATAAAGTTATTGTGCTGTTTAGCCAAAAAACAGTCCGAGTTGAAAGTTTCTTAGATTAACAATCGATAAATTGTTTTTAAAACTGATGTTATATAACTCATAAAATCAATAAGGTAGCTTTGCATGGTACCATCTAATGATATATGTTATTCAATAATGTTTTCCGGGTTAGTTTAGCTTAATATGCATAATTCCTAATGGAAATAAATAAACGGAAATAAGTTTTGGCTAACAGCAGACTATGATCAAGGATCTATTTATGATGGATTTCTTCACAGAAATTCAGTGCTAATGAAACGTCCACATCCAAAAAATGGAAATCAGTAGAAACAAATCTAGTTATCGATCATTCTCAGACTGATGGAACAAATTTCTCTGTAAATACTACAATAGTGGATTTTAAAAAGAATACACTACAGTAAAGCCTTTCCAACTGTACACTTTAGACAATTGACTGTTCGATATATGTATAATTTTTTTTATTTAAACCTTGGAATTTTATCAATGTAATATCAAGATGAAAATATTATCACGGTACAAAATGAAAAGAACACAATACTATTTAATACAATTATCAGAGAGACTATAATTTATGGACGAACCAATCAGATTTGGTATAACAGGTTTTGGATTTTGGCGAGAAATCCATTCATCCTTTTGGCTAGATAGCGTTTTGGCATTTTAGATTACGTCAGTTCATGATGAAAACCATAAATCTAATTCCTAATGCTAACCATCAATTGTAAATCATAATCCTTATTCTTCAAAGTGCTTCATAATCCTCATTTAGCTTTAGTAAGTAGATGGACATTCTCAGGTCACTTTAGCGTCGCTCAAAGGTCGTCCATAAATTATAGTCTCACCCAATTATCATACAAAAGAACAGGATAGTATTAGCAATAATAACAGCAGTAGATAAGTAGATATAAATCAACGAATCACTCTATCATTCACACCCATTAATTAAACATTTTACGTCAATAAAGATGGTAAACACATGTGGTCATGTGTTTGTGACAGTGTCAAATTGATTGTGAATTTTAATAATTAAAAACCAATCAAACATACTTTATGCTAAATTTTAATTAAAAGAAAGAGACCAATATCTATCAGGGTTTCCGACTGACTTACGATATTTACTAATTAAGGAACCATTAAACTGTTTTAATATGAACGTTTCTATTACGGACTCAATAACGACAGATAAAATATAACACTCAAACAATTAGGTGCTGGCGAAGGAAATGGATGAAGCGTAGCAAGAACCTGATATTGAAGAACAGTTGGAAATACTCGAATTCAGTATATTTAATAACAAAAGCATGACTTTCAAGTATACAGAAAATTAGCGAACTAAAAATAAAGACAATCAGAAAAGGGCACAAGTCATGCAATAAATTGGATTGGAAACAAATCAGTCGCAGTTACCGTACCTAGATAAGATGGTAAACAACGAGAGAACTAGTTGTCTAAAATGTTATGAAACTGATGACAACAAATATTGATCCATGAAAACAATAATTGTTGGTCAGCCAGAGATACATCAGTAAGTTCAAATTTCTTATTGAATAGAAATATATCCTATTCATAAGCTACAAGTTTAAAAGTAATATCATTCACATTGGAACATTGAAATTGGCTTACGAATTCATAGTCTAAGATATTTAAATAAGTCATTATGATTACTGTCAAGCTTAGTTGTAAAATTTAGTTAAATAAATCTATACAATACTCTGTAAATGATCATTTAAAGGGAAATCGCCGCAACATTTTACCAATATTATTCGAAAAATTATATTGTAAAAGAACTTATTACCTTCTACTTTCCTCAAATATGTTAATTGTAAATTAATTTCTGATATTATTTCCGATATTAAGCTCAATTTTCGAATACTATATACATTGGTATATGTATTAAAAAAACATGATTTTTCACAGCAATAAAATGGAACAAAACAAAACCGTTAGTTCATTGATAGTTTGGTCATCTGTTTCAACTGTCTAGGGATAAAACTCATTGTGTTTAGGTTGGCCTGGTCTTATTGTATAACTTTAATGAATTTCAAAACTAAATATTTTCAGGTTTCAATGAACTTGAATTATATGGTTTAAAACGGTGAAGTGGAATACAGGTCGTTCGATGCGCAATTTATCCTAAAAAAAAACTCAAGAACAATACTCGGCATGGCTAAAAGAAGGAGGAAATGGTTTAATAATTGAACACCTTGTAAACACAAGTCACTCAGTCAAGGACTGTGAGTTCAAAGTCATCTACAAGGTAAGTAGAAGGCTGCCAAAATAGTCGTATTGCATCTTCTCAACATTGCCGAAGCGATAGTCATACATCTGAGAAAATCAGAATTGGTTGTCGAAAAAACATTGATACAACCATAGTCTTAAGGTCTCATGAGTTTCTCTTCTTTCCTTCTTCATACTTTTCTTCCTGTACAGCTATCTGCTTCCCCTTCCATCTTCTCTATAGACGTTCTGCCTCCAACTGGTTTATTTCAATAAAGGGAACCAATTGCATGGTTTATTTCAGTTTCTATGATCCCACTGATTACATTTCATCTTATCATGCTGAGCCATTCGTCTCCAGTTATGATTTCCTTACTTATCTTCATGATGAATATTTAAGCCCTTAACAATGAAACTATCATTATTTTCCTTGTTTAAAAATTTTAATACGTTTGTTAATTCTACTTCACTGCTATCATGTTTAACAGAAACCTATTATCACTATTATTGTAGTTATTGTAATCATCATCATCCTGAAAAAGGGTATATATATTTACGACTGTACATCTTTGAAAATGAATTCGCCGAAAAGAGAAATATTCGCTGAACCAATCCTTATTTTAAAATGTTGTTACTCTAATCCACATAAATAATTTAGATATCTATAAAAATGAAAATGATTTGGTAAAGAAAAAATCCAGTGAACATTTATTAACGTAGATAATCGTTTATTATCTAAGACCAGAATTTACTGTTCAGACAGTTTATAAGGTATGATTATGCCATCTGTTAGCGAGATGTGATGATATGAGTTCTTGCAGATTTGACAACAGTAAGCTTCAGATTTGATGAGGAGAGAATTCGACGGTAGTTTAAACTTTACCATCTGCTAATTCTTACTTCACCCAAATTGATTAACAGTTCCAGTTATATATATGATATTAAGAAACGTTTTTCAACAAGTTGATAAACAAGGAAACACGTTACAGAGTGAAACTTTTGATCAATGTTTGACTTTGAAAAACAATAAAGTAGAAAATAAGAACTATTGTCATTATTAACATTATTATTATTATTGCTTTTCGCATTCTCATTAATATACAGCATCCGAATCGGATAATCTTAAAAATCACATCAGTTGTAGAAAGCTAAATATCAATATTACAATTGTAACACATTGCCTATCTAGATTGATATTTATAAATACATTAGGATCGAGATTTAAGTCTTGTTAAAATAGAATTTCTACGCTTTCAAGAAGTGATACTAGGAATGCAAAATTCACAATAAGTGTCTTGATTAAAATGGTTACACTTCACGGTAATGAACTTCAAGAAGAAATTGTTCAAATTTGTGAGATATAGGGAGTGAAAGACATAAGTAAAAAACATGGTAGGCGTTATTTAAAAATAATGTTGAGGAATTAATTTATTGGTGAAATTCAGATCGTATAAAGTTTATAAATACTGATCAAAAGAAACTTGCACACTCATTACATGATTGATATATGTAAACAAAAATCTGTAAATTCCTTTAAAATTTTACATCAAGATATATCGTTTACCACATCAACAAACATTACGATAAGATTAACAATTGACCCAAAACAAATCAACATATCGACAATTTATGCAAATTTGGACTTGTTTTCATGACCGCATATCGCAAATAGAAAAAGGCACAATGTACAAACAAGATTTTAGATAAATAAAAAGGGCGCACTAATTGTTTAGAAATAACATAGAATGAAACAAGATGTGCGATGCAAAGTAAGCACAATGAAGTGATTAGTTCTTTTTAAACACATATAATGATAACCTTATAGTACGTTAATACACTCTGAAATCCGACCGATCGATAACCTGTAGTGCAAATAACTCAGCTTTGCTGAACAAATCACTTTATAGAAAAAAGATGAGTAAATTAAGTGTAAACTAAATAAAATTATTCTCACACAGATTTTTTAAAATAACAACTTGAAACTATTTTTACTGCATCCAAGTGAAATAACGTCTAGGTCTCAAAACACTTCAAGTTCGAAGTTAGTTCTCTAGAAATACACTTCCTTTTTAACAAAATATTTGCTTTCTTGTTGAGAATAACAATTGTCTTTTCTTAAATATTTCTTGTAACCCAATCAATGTGTTGACTGGTAACAGTATGAGCACGCATTGCCTATAAATAACACATCTTCGACTATATAAAATCAGAAGTAACTCCACAGAATAAGTAATCATGTGACTGAAATGGCATTATGGCCCCTATCTCTGACTCCAGTTTGATAGTTTCTGATTGCTATTGAGATATACATGTTGAAATGTATATATCGTCAATCCTCGCATATAATTATCGACTTAAATCGCGTTAGTGAATAGCAGAATTAAACAAGTCAAACACGAGAATGGATTTTTGAATACATATATTTATACACACTGATCTGGGCAGGAAATGAGAGGGATGAAGCGAATAGCGCGAGGCAAAGTGGCGTGCGGTGGAGGCGTGTGAGCCAACTCCATTTAATAAAGCGTTAGTCAATATTTA